CCTCTCCGGATATTCAATCGTCTGTCCTTTTACAAGAGTGGAGGAGCCTTTAAATAGCGGCTCCTTTTCTACCGACTTGAAGGCCCTTAATGGCTGACTTCAAGACTAATCAAGATATGGAGCCGTTGGACGCCATTACTCGGCCGACCAACGGCTCTTCTAGGCTTGTAACAGCCTGACCGGGTCCTGCTTTCAATGTCCTAACGGCTCCCTTTTAAACGAGTCTCTTCAATGCTCTCAACGGCTCCTTGAACCGAGTCTTTCCCTGGGCTTGGGCCTTGGTCGACTCCTCGTCTCAGCCTAAGCTCCCACTGGGCTCCTCTTTAGCAGTTCTGACCCGGGCCCCGTGCCTGGGCCTGGACCGACTCCAGGACTCGGCCCACTTGCTCTTCGGGCTCCTCAGACGCTGGCCCACTGTACTTCTCCCGACTTGAACCATTTCCTTTGAGCCCCTATCTCTTGGGCCGGGGTCCTTATCCCATCATATATTATATATTAAATAGTTTAATATTTAATAGTTACTATTAATATGTAAATAATAATAACCAACTAACCAATTAAGTTGTGACACATAAGCTTTTCCAAACCTTACATCATATCACTAAGGGAGGATGACATGCCTATGGATAAGATGAGAATAAGATGGTATGGATTTTTTCCAACATAATCTGATGTGACGAGTTTCATCGTCTAATTTAATCAAAAGTCTTGAGTTTAAGTCATGAGAATATAGTTACCTTAAAATTCACGAGAGAGTGTTTGGTAAACATACACAAGGGATAGGACCATATGTCAAGCCAAATTCAACTTTCACTGTTGGAAATTACGAAATTTCCGACCACCTGAAAATGATCTTAAATAAAGGCGAAAGTAAAAAGTGGTCGGAAATAGCAACAAAGGTTTTTTCAGATACCAAAAATTGTCGGAATATGCCTTTCGACTTGATTTAAGATCACTTTCATGTGGTCAAAAATTCTATAATTTCCAACAGTATTTATATGTAGATTTTAAAAATTATATATTTACCCATTATATATTTTGAGCGTATAAATATAAGAAAATCATCACTTCAACGAGAGAACTTAAATCTAATTTGACTTGCTCAAATTGGGAGTAAATTCTACTCAAAATACTCTATCAGTTTCGCATGCCAATTTTCTGCAACTTAATTGCAACGTTTTTGAATATTTTGTAAGAGATTGAATGGACTAAAAAATGTCTATTTTAGTAATAAGAGTTACGTAAAAGACTTATGTTTTGAAAACGAAGACTTAGAAATTTTCATAGTCTAAAAATAATAATTAAAAAAAAAACTCAAAAAACAACAAATCCCTGTTAATAAAGTTTTCGGCACCTAAATTCTGATAGCTGATTGTAATAGAGTTGATAGCATTCAAAAAAATTCTGATAGATCGTGACGAAACGTCAAATGTCTACTTCTCCCAAACAGATATTAGATAACAAAGGTTTTTTAATCAAATAGTTCTAATTTAGGTTTATTGGTGAGAAAATGTCTACTTCATAAAACTAAAAATTTCAAATTAAACATTTCGAAGCAACATTCTAACTATATAAATACTAAATAGTGATTTCTAGTCAAATATAGCCACCAATTAATATATAAATAAGGAGAATAGAATTATTTTTTAATTGAATATATTTGTCAAATGATACAAATGTTTATACTGAGTGCTAAACATTTGAATGTTTATCCTTGTGTTAAAGATTGTTTGTAAAAAGATAAAATGAGTGATAGTTAGAGTACTAAATCTAAAATTAAAACTTTTTAAAGAAAGTTATGGATTTAGAAGAAAAATTGTAGTTGTATATGAAGCATAACTTCGTTTTATCAAATGTTCAAATTTAGATGAAGAAAAATGAATAAAAAAATTATTACTTCCTTTTATTAAACAATCAAAATACAATACATAACACATTATTGAATTAGGGGAAAATGTTTGGAAAATGGTGGATCATAATTAGTGACCTACAAACAGGGTGGACTCAGCATGGGGACAGTGGGGGCAACTGCCCCCACTCCCCCCACCTCACCCATATATTATCCTTGTATATATGTATATATGTATATATAGAACATGTTTTAAGTATAAGTATAATAAAACACAAAAATGTTAGTAAGTATTGATTTGGTTCAGTTAGTAGGGTACGTATTAGGCTTTTGGTAAAGTCAAGTGTTCAAATTCTGTAGTGCACAAATATTGATTTTATGACTTTTTATTATTATTAATAGTTAGCTTATATAATCGAGATGTGTAATTTATAATGCATTTTATATTCTAATTATTTTATCAAATTAATTATGTTTCATATTTTATTATGAATATAAGAATATGTTTATAAAGTTTTGATATGTTTTATTTTTTACTCATATCTAAAAATATTTATGATTATATTTTTTAAGTGTTTCATTATTTTTTTTTCAAAATATTTTTTCGTTGTAATGTTTTGCTCCCATTGATAAAAAATCCTGAATCAGCTACTGGCTACAAAGCTGACAATTGCAGCAATCACATGATTCATGCATGCCATGTAAATTACTTGGAAATTGTTTTGGTGACAAAAGCATGTACAGCCCCATTCTGGGTTTTTGGAGCAATAATTCAAATGATATGATGGAGGTGAGAGACAAATAGTAGAAAAAAAAAAAAAAAAAAACTCGACTCCAACGGCTAAACGTACAGCTAGTTTTTGAGAAGATTATATTGTCAGCACAAGCTTAATTTACTGGTTTAGTATGTAGTATTTGTGTGTGTATGTGTGTGATGGTTCACGTGCGAAGTTTTTCCTAAGTGAAAAATGATGTGAGAGCTGAGACTTTGATCTAATCTAGATCAACAGCTCAAACGGAAGGAAAATATAAAAAAAAATAAACGCGCTTCCTGGATGCAAATGATCAAGTGTCTCGAACTGAGACACCTTAAGCTTCGAGCGTATGCACCGTAAGCTGAAAATAATGCTCCATAAGCTTTAAATATACGCACCTTAAACTATAAACTTAGACATCTTAAGCTTTAAACTGAAGCACCTTAAGCTTTAAACTTAGGTACTTAAAGCTATAAACTTAGGCACCTAAAGCTATAAACGTACGCATGACCTTAAGCTAGAAAATAATGCACCTTAAGCTTTACAGATATGCACCTTAAGAGTTAAACTGATACATTTTAAATTAGAAAGTGATGCATCTTAAGATTTAAACATATAAACCTTAAGCTATAAACTTACGCACCTTAAGCAATAAAGTTACGCACCTTAAGATTTAAACATACGAACTTTAAACTATAAACTTACGCTCCTTAAACAATAAAGTTACGCACGTTAAGTTTTAGACTTAAGCACCTTAAACATTAAACTTAGGCACCTAGCGCTATAAACTTACGCACTTTAAACTTTAAACTTACGCACCTTAAGCTCTCACCTTATGCAAAATGACCATAATGCCACCGCATTTTTTTAAAAAATTGTTCTTCATTCTGGACTGTTGATTTTGGCAAGATCAAAGACTGTAATTAATCCGCACGTTTCACCTATGAGAGTATGCGATCGTCTCATGGATCATTATTCATGAGATGAGTCGAGTTTTTCATAAGTATTACACTTTTCTTCATAAATATTACATTTTATATTATAAGTAACTCTTTAATCCCTAAATATTACATTTTGATTTAAGGGTTCGTTTGGAAACACGAAAAAATAATTTTCGAAAGTCATTTTCCAGTGTTTGGGTACTCAAGGAAAATAAAGTCAAAGAAAAATATTTATTTTTGTGAACGAAAAAAGGCCTAATTTGGAGGAAAATGTCTTCCTAATTTTGTAGTCGAAAGACATTTTCCAGATTTTTTTTTTAATTTCCCATCTCTTCTTTTTAAAGTTAGTTTACAGGTTATTATTATTATTATTACCACAACCACCAAACCACCATACCACAACACAATCACATTATCACCACCACTATGACACCACCACCACCGCACCACCACTACCACACCACCACCACCATCACCATCACCACATATTATTATTATTATTATTATTATTATTATTATTATTACAAATAATATGTTCATTTTCAAGAAAATGAACCAAACAGAAAAAATACAATTTCTTAACTTTCAGTCAAACAAAAAAAGATAAATTTATGACATTCAACCAATAAACACCAAAAAATTAAAATATTAAAATATTTTTCAAAAAATAAGTAATTTTTTAGAAATCATTTTTCGAAAATATTTCTCAGGTTTCCAAACAGACCCTAAAAATAGTACATTTTTTTCAAAAGTATCATATTTTTTTCTAATAAGTATTGCACTTTCATTTATAATTAATAATCAATTTATCCATGATTAATATTACAAATTTCCTCATAAATATTATTCCATATGTTTCACATAAGTAATAATCAATTAATTTATGCTTAATTAGTATTATAATTTTTCTTATAGATAACTCTATGACCTTTAAATATAATATTTTAATTTAAAAATATTACATTTTTCATAAAAATATAACATTTTTTCTCATAAACAATAATTAATTTATTTTTAATTAATATTATATTTTTCATTGTAAGTATTATATTTCTTTCATAAAGGTATATATTCATTTTGAATCGCATACATACTAGGGAACACGTAAATATGTCGACTCTCCACACCCTTTTCTATAAAAAGGAGGAAAAAGATAAAAGCATTCATCAGCAGTATGAGTGTATGACAAATATTGTCGAGTAATAAATGCACCCTTAATTTCCAAGAAATTTCCATGCAACTACAAACATCTTTCCACTACATAATATATGCTTATACCGCCCCCGAATCCACCCCACCCCCAAAAAAAAAAACAGTATTTTCGTCGACTAAAGTCAACTAATTAAAACGAAATAGACAAATGTAAATGTAGCGGTAATTTTTCACAAAAATGAAACTTAATTTAACGCAATCTTAAGGACCACGCTGCATATGCTTATATATATTATGTTGGTTTGCCCCAAGAATCACACACCAATTCCCCCCTTCACTCGTTACATATTTCACCAAAAAATAAAAAAATAAAAATCTTTTTCATTATCACTTGTATAGTGTATATATTCGTGACCTATTTCTTGGGTTTCTTGGTGCTGCAGTTCGCCCCTTCCAGTTTATCATAAAGGTAATTATATTACTAAACATGTTTAGTTGTTTGTCCATATATATAAATATATATATATATATATATATATATATATATATATATATATATATATACACACACACACTTTTTTTTATGAGTACTACTAACTCTGTTACAATGATGTATACTTGTTTCAACATCTCTTAACAGACTGAATTGTCCAGGATACAAGACGACTTACGAGCTCGGTCAATACACTATACACACATATATTATCTGTTGTTCCAGTTAAGTATTTGTCCTAATTTAAAATCAAATGGATATGATGATGACGAAACCTCAAACAAACTCAACGTGCATGGACTTTGTTGTGATCAACCTCAGTGCAAACTTGAGGTTGTCTGTTAGCAAAAAGAAATGGCATAGGGCAATGGTTAAAATCAAGTGTTGTAAGGTACTGCTTTGTTATTTTAAGGAAATTTATGACTTAAGAAATAATAAAGATTCCAAAAACATTAGCAAAGTGTCTCTTATACAGTCTGGTAATGAAAAACTTATCACTGATTATAAAGTACAACAAGAAAACCATTTATCCTCTAATCTTGATCAGTCGAGTCTTGCTAAGCTAGTTGGGGAGAAAAGCCTTAAAAATCTTGATAATATTGGCGGCATTGAAACTATAGCTACTTCTATTGGAAGTAATTTAGAGAATGGAGTTAATGGCGATACAGAAGATGTTTCGCGTAGAAATGAAGTGTATGGAAGGAACACTTACCCGAGGCCACCAACAAAGAGTTTGTTCCAATTTGTTTGGGATATGTTCAAAGATCCCACCATCATTATACTATTGGTGTGTGCTGCATTGTCTCTTGCATTTGGCATGAAAGAGGATGGAGCAAAAGAAGGATGGTATGATGGGGGGAGTATTTTTCTTGCTGTCTTTCTTGTAATATCCGTTTCATCCATAAGCGATTTCAGGCAGAGTAGACAATTCGAGAAATTATCCAAAATAAGCAGCAACATCCAGGTTGAGGTTGTCAGGAATGGGCGACGAAAACATATTTCAATATTTGAAGTTGTGGTTGGAGACCTTGTTTGGTTGAAGACCGGAGATCAGATCCCTGCGGATGGTTTGCTTGTCGAAGGGCATTCCTTGCAGGTTGATGAATCTAGCATGACAGGGGAGAGCGATTATGTGGAGGTGAACCACAACCAAAATCCATTCTTAATTTCAGGCACAAAAGTTGTAGATGGATATGGTAAGATGCTTGTTACCTCAGTTGGAATGAACACGGCTTGGGGCGAGATGATGAGCAAAATCAGTAGCAGTTCTAGTGAGGAAACACCCCTCCAGGCGAGGCTCAACAAGCTTACTACCTCCATTGGTAAGGTCGGTTTAGCAGTTGCTTTCCTAGTACTGGTTGTCTTGTTGGTACGATATTTTACAGGACATACCAAGGACGATAATGGGAATAAAGAGTTCAATGGCAGCAAGACAAAGGCTGATGATGTGATTAACTCTGTGGTGGGAATCATTGCTGCTGCTGTTACAATAGTAGTCGTCGCAATCCCAGAAGGATTGCCCTTGGCCGTGACTCTTACTCTTGCTTATTCAATGAAGAGAATGATGAGTGATAAAGCAATGGTGAGGAAACTCTCTGCCTGCGAGACAATGGGTTCTGCTACAACCATTTGTACAGACAAAACCGGAACACTCACTCAGAACTGCATGGCTGTAACCAAGTTTTGGTTAGGCAAAGAATCCATGGAGGGGAAGGATCATAATTTAATTGCAGCCAGAGTTCTTGATTTGCTTCACCAAGGGGTTAGCCTCAACACAACAGGTAGTGTTTTCAGGTCCCCTAATACTTCGTGTTTCGAATTCTCAGGTAGTCCTACAGAGAAAGCAATTCTCTCATGGGCTGTTCTGCAACTCAAGATGGATATGGAGGAAACAAAAAGGAATAATACCATTCTTCATGTGGAAGCATTCAATTCAGAGAAAAAGAGAAGCGGGGTTTTGATGAAGAAGATTCCTGATGGAACAACTCATGCTCACTGGAAAGGAGCTCCCGAGATGATTCTTGGAATGTGTTCTCACTTCTGCGACAATGAAGGGAATCATAAAGCTATAACAAATCACGAGAGAGAGAAATTCAACCAAATAATCCAAGGTATGGCAGCTAGCAGTCTGAGATGCATTGCATTTGCCCATAAACAGGTTTTAGAAACCAACCCTGAAGATGGTGAAATACATGAGAAAATACCAGAGAGTGAGTTGACCCTTTTGGGGTTTGTTGGCCTCAAAGACCCATGCAGAACTGGTGTGAAGAAAGCTGTGGAAGATTGTCAGTATGCTGGCGTAAACATCAAGATGATCACTGGAGACAATATCTTCACTGCAAAGGCTATAGCAACAGAGTGTGGAATTTTGCAGTACAATCAAGCAGTAGAAGAAGGAGCAGTCATAGAAGGAAGCGAATTTCGAAACCTCACAGAAGAACAGCGGATGGAGAGAGTTGAAAAAATCTGTGTCATGGCAAGATCCTCTCCACTTGACAAGCTTCTAATGGTGCAGTGTCTGAGAAAGAAAGGCCACATAGTTGCAGTCACAGGTGATGGTACCAACGATGCACCAGCTTTAAAAGAAGCTGATATAGGGCTTTCAATGGGAATCCAGGGCACAGAAGTAGCTAAAGAGAGTTCAGATATCGTGATCCTGGACGATAACTTTGCCTCAGTAGCCACTGTTCTGAAATGGGGAAGATGCGTGTACAACAATATCCAAAAGTTCATTCAGTTTCAACTCACAGTCAATGTAGCAGCCCTCGTGATCAACTTTGTAGCTGCAGTTTCAGCCGGAGAAGTTCCCCTCACAGCAGTTCAGCTACTATGGGTCAATCTGATTATGGATACTCTAGGAGCATTAGCACTTGCGACAGAAAAACCAACAAAGGAGCTCATGAAGAAGCCACCTGTGGGAAGAACAGAACCACTAATCACCAACATTATGTGGAGGAATCTTCTAGCTCAGGCTTTATATCAGATATCTATCCTCCTGATCTTACAGTTTAGAGGTGAGTCAATTTTCGGGGTGAGTTCAAAGGTAAATGATACTTTAATCTTCAACACTTTCGTTTTCTGCCAAGTGTTTAATGAGTTCAATGCGCGTGAGCTGGAGAAGAGGAATGTCTTCCAGGGGATACACAAGAACAAGTTGTTTGTGGGGATTATTGGCATAACTATTGTTCTTCAGGTAATGATGGTGGAGTTTCTTAAAAAGTTTGCTGATACAGAGAGGTTGAATTGGGGGCAGTGGGGAGTCTGCATAGGACTAGCAGCTGCATCTTGGCCTATTGGCTGGCTCATCAAGTGCTTCCCTGTTCCAGAAAGACCAATATTTAGTTATCTCAAATTGAAGAACTTGAAATTCTTGTAATATGATTACCATTTAGTTAGTCTTTGATGCATGTATTAAATTTAAGAATTGCAGTATGATTGAAAAACTGTATTGTTATTATTGCTTATCTTTTAGAATAATGTATGTTGTTTCAACGTGAATAAGAAGGTTCCTTTTTCCTATTTCCGATATTACAATGAACATAAGGAATTAAGGATCAGTGCAAACAGAAATCCCTTAGACAACTGATGATATGTTTGATGCTTAATTTCTTTCAAGCAAACAATCAAACACTTTGGCTGCACCACGAGATTACTTATATGAAAAGATCATTAACACTAGCTCAATTGAAACTCATACCTATTACGTACGAATAGTTGTATCGGAGCCGACTGATTCGCAGGCGCGACCGATTACTACCGTAACAGCATCTCAACAATTCCGATCAAATTCCTAAGTATCGCTGCCAGTGCCATTATATATTGAACTCTTTATTTCCGGTTTAAGATCATTGGTATGTGTAATGATCCCAGGAAATAACCAAGAAGAAGAAGCAGCAAACTACGTCGCATGACCTGAGACGGTTGAAGGCTGTTATGAGATGAGCAATCGCAGTCGTTTGAAGGAAGCAGTTGGTCGCAGTTTAATAGCAGTCCAACGACAACGTTTTAGCTCTAGGAAGTTAGTTGAATCTGATAGCAACTGTAATTGCATTTAAATAAGCAGAGGTGAGTTTTCAAAAAAAAAAAAAAAAAAAAAAAAGCTGGGGTGATGTATGGATATTCTAACATTTATGCAAATCCAATTTCCTTTTCTCAATTTCTTCTACTCTCAACCCTCCTTCTTCTTCTTCTTCTCTCCCTCACAACTCTCAACTCCCAAACCCTAGTAGACCCGTTACATATGGTATCAGAGCCCTCAATAGAAGCACGTATGAACCCGTTAGAAATAGTAGTGGCTGATCTGAGCAGCCAAATGGAAGCAAAGAAGAGGACGACGACTGACTTGATGGAGCGCCTAGTAACTCAAATGGAGAACATAATGAATGATTGGAAGAATGGCTGAGATTGTAGAAAATATACGACTCAATCGACCTCAGCCACTTATAATAGATACGGCCCTGGAGCATCCTCAGTAAATGGGGCAAGGCTTGAGCCCCCACCTAGCATCCCGCAAGGCCAAACTCCTCAGACGAGAACCCCGGGAGAGGCGCCGGCGATGCAAGGCCAAACCACCAGATTGGAGGAGGAAGTAGGCGGCGATGTTGAATCTGGCAGTGAGGTGGAGTCGGATGAACTGGGCACGGATTGGGCTTGGAGGAACTAGATGCTAGCTCTCCCTAGACAGGGGATGGATTCACCATTAATGAGATACCGGTATGATTTTCCCCCTTCGATTATGCTCAACCTAGATTGTGGATTAGTAGATGTGAGAGATTTCTGTTAATGGCCCATATTCCTAGAATGGAAGTTGATGGAATAATATAATATGCGTGCCATATTATTATTATTATTATTATTATTATTATTATTATTATTATTATTATCTATAATAATAATAATGTTAGTCAAAGAAGAAGAAGTCATGCATGGCAAGAAAATAGGAATGTTATTGGCCTTAATATTAGGGAAGATTGCAACTAGAGGAAGGACCTTATATAAAGGCTTTGGGATCAGACAAAGGGGCTCTCTCTCTCTTCTACATACATGCTCTTTTCGTCATTCATTCCATGGCCATGGCTGGCCATGGCTATCTATGTACATGTACCACACTTGCCACAAATATAATAAAAGACTTTCGGCTTGGCTTAGCCCAAAAAGGCTCGTGATTTTTACCGCTTTGGTTTCCACGTTAAATCCTTGTGTACTTGTTTATTGATTCCCGACAATATACCCCTATTATCATTTTAATTTCATATTTGTTACAATTATTTATTCATGCGGGTTAATTAATCCAGACCCCTGGTTTAATTAATTCCATCATTGGTGCTCTTGTTGAGATCGGCTGTACAAGCTTGAGCGTGCTCTCCTTAATCAACGTTTCTTATGAAACCAACACTTCAACAATGGCAAGATCAAATCCCATTTCAATAGCCCTTCGAGCGTACAATTATATGACAACCATGCCAGAATAAAAGTTCCATGGACGCCCGACGTAGGACGCAGTGGAGTCTCCAAACGCCATCACCTAAGGCTCTGCTCCGCCGGGTCTCTCGAACACGATCGCACTGTCCCTAAAGATGAAGCCCGACGTGCCGATGATATCGTATTCCCGATAAGACTGCTGCGTCGAGTGGACGTGGAACATGTCTCGATAACTACGGATCGCACGTCCAAATAACGCGGCACAGACAAATTAGAATCCGATCTGAATGCCACTGTGCATAGGATAATACTATACGTGCTGAAGGTTTTCCTGCTCAAATCTTGTAATGCACACATACATTACCATAATTACTATATATTTATTGTGTAATCGCCGAAAGTTGCCGATCGGAGATGGCATGGATCGGATGTCACCATTATTTCTTGCAACCCAACTTTATCTACCGATCTTCATTCCCGTAACCATAAAACCAGTGCTGATCACGGCGGCATGGAATTTCGACACATGCATTTCTTCGATCTCTGCTGATGTATCGTCGCGGATGCAGTCGCCTACTGTAGCAGAATTGCAAATCCCAATGGCGCGAATGATCCTGATCTAGGTCTGCAACGTAACATGAGTTTACAAGTCGAACCATTTACAATCTATGGTGCTAGCTTTCTTCCTGCTCGCCGTCTCCTCAGCTGCACGTTCTCTGATCGCAAAAACCAGGGGATCCGAAGTACATGCCCTTGGATGATCGTGAACGGAATGGTTTTGGATTGCCCTCCTCGTTCATTAGCGGCACTGGACCCATGGCATCTGCTAACGTTCTCGGCGTACCTCCCAACATCTCCCAAGTCTGATCGCCAGATGTCCAAGGAACTACATGTCTTTTAAAAGTTACGTCCAAGTTGCGAAGTGGTCAGGTTCTTGAACTTATTGATGCTTTGAATTCCATCGCTCAACTATACTTCTTCACCTTACTCCCTTAAACCAAAGACTGGACACTAGAAGACACAGATGCTCTGTTCGACACATTTTCCTGTGGAGTCAACCCTGAGAGAGGTAGAGAAGAAGGATGGGCGAAACGACGAACGTGATCGCATGCCATAGTTTACCGTATAGCAAGGGAAGTTTTAGATGCAGCTACTCGCATAATTCAACTTGGTGTGCCCACTAATGAAATTGATGTTGTGGTCCATGGAGCTATCATTGCTAGAAGCAAGAGCATGGTGATGTTGTAAATGCGATGTCACTGTGTATTATAAAGGGATCCATGGCGATCTATGGTTCAATGCACATACGAATGCTTGGATAAATCTATATCAATTGGTTGGTCTGTTTTTCTAAAGCTACATCCGAACCTCGTGCCGATCGTCTGCTCCCTCGTATGGTTGAAGTTCGCAGCGCCGAAGGTGATCTGTGTGCTCTGTCCTGCAAGATTAATTTGCTCCCCATTAGAACCCTTGTTCTGCCGCTGCGAGCCCGTCATCTCGTTCTCTGATCCACTGGAAACGACGGGCATGCACAAGCGGGAGGAAGGTCTGGACTGGTGTCGTCTCAGGCGCCATAACAGGCAAAGCCACCACCTAGGCGCAGATCGGAGTCGCTGGTTTCTGGTTGGTTGGCCAGTTCGGTTGATCGCTTTTGGTGTTTTCCTACCACTGATCGTTGCGAATTTACAATGGCCATAGTTTGGAAAAGGCATGCATGCATTTCCACAATATGCGTACGCATATATATATATATATATATATATATATATATATATATTATATGTTTCTTAAATAATAGAATATAATGATATTAATAAGTGGACCACTAAGCAAAATGGGACACTGAATTATTTATTACATCAAAGTAAAGTATAAGGGTTGATCCATGGTCGTGGTTGTGCGCGCCAGCCCCGACTTTGGTATACCTTAACGGTGATACGAGGCCCGTCCTTGTTCACTACCTGGATAAAGAAGAGCCTATTTTTGGTTTATTACATATATGTTGGCCCCCCGGGAAGGCGGCCACGCTCGCGGGCAACCGCGATAGCTAGCTTAGACTCATCACACCTAGGGGCGATACGAGGTCCAACCTCGCACATCGCCGAACGGAGGAGCTTATGGGTGCGAGTCGGGGGACTCAACCCATAGTCGTCACACCCCTAGGGGTGGTGCGAGGTCCGACCTCGCCTACCGTCGAACGGAAGGATTCGGGATGCGAGTCAAAAGACTCTAACCCAGGAATCGCTAAAACGTCCTAAGGGTGGTACGGGGTCCGACCTCGCCTATCGCCGAACGGGCGTAACGCAATCTTGACACCCTAGGGGCGGTACGAGGTCCGGCCTCGCCTATCGCCGAACGGAAGGATTTGGGATGCGAGTCAGAAGACTCCAACCCAAGAATCGCTAAAACGTCCTAAGGGCGTTACGAGGTCCGACCTCGCCTATCGCTGAACGGACGTAACACAACCTTGATGCCCTAGGGGCGATACAAGGTCCGACCTCGCCTATCGCCGAACGGAAGCTACGGGTCCAAGGCAAAAACACTTTGACCTAATGGCTAACACGACATGCGAACGAATACGTTGGTGTTTCGTGCACAAACATACTTTGGTGCTCCGCGCACAAACATGTAGTCCAGACTATGCTCTTCGTTAAGGATGCACTCCAGCGTTATCATTTTTATGCGGTGAACATCAGTTTTCTACTTTCTTATTATACCGACAAATACTTGGGATTAAGAAAGTGGGGGACTCATGATGGAATAATATAATATGCGTGCCATATTATTATTATTATTATTATTATTATTATTATTATTATTATTATTATTATTATTATTATCTATAATAATAATAATGTTAGTCAAAGAAGAAGAAGTCATGCATGGCAAGAAAATAGGAATGTTATTGGCCTTAATATTAGGGAAGATTGCAACTAGAGGAAGGACCTTATATAAAGGCTTTGGGATCAGACAAAGGGGCTTTCTCTCTCTCTCTTCTACATACATGCTCTTTTCGTCATTCATTCCATGACCATGGCTGGCCATGGCTATCTATGTACATGTACCACACTTGCCACAAATATAATAAAAGACTTTCGGCTTGGCTTAGCCCAAAAAGGCTCGTGGTTTTTATCGCTTTGGTTTCCACGTTAAATCCTTGTGTACTTGTTTATTGATTCCCTACAATATACCCCTATTATCATTTTAATCTCATATTTGTTACAATTATTTATTCATGCGGGTTAATTAATCCGGACCCCCGGTTTAATTAATTCCATCAGAAGTAATGCATGTGTTCTATGTGAGTTTGACTGGGAGGGTGGGTATATGGTTTGAGGAATACAGAATACTTAACTGAATTGGAATGACCCTTCCAATGGTCTCAGTTTGCAGAGGCATGCAGTATGTAGAAGGTTTGGAGAAGACAGTGGTGTTGTAATGGAGGATTTTAATTTAGTGCCTTTAGACAGAATGGAGAGATTTTAGAGTTCAATGATAAATTTAAGGAGTTCAGGAACTTATTAATCCTAAAACACCCCACCGTTACTGACGTGACATCGTTTGATACAACAATTGTTTTTTTTTTTTTTTAAGATTTGACCGTTGTTTTCTTCTTCTTCTTCTTCTTCTTCTTCTTCTTCTTCTTCTTCTTCTTCTTCTTCTTCTTCTTCTTTTCTCCTCCTCACCGCCATTGTCATCTTCTCCCCCTCCTCCTTTGCTTAGACCTAATAATGAGTTGAATTTCTTCCCTTTTAATAAAATTCCTCCTACAGATCTCAGTCACAACGAATATGTCTCTCATAATACTCATGTCTACAACCTTTTGGATGAAATAAGAAAGGTTGTTAGTAGTTTCTTTGATCTTCTAACTTCACAACATGCTTGAAGTCTCAATGTTATTCTTGTTTTCTATCATTCTTTTCGTTTTGTGTTTTATCATTCTGTCATATTACCCAAATGAACGAACTTTTTTCATTGCATTTACGAGCGACTATATCTTGATATTCTTATTGTGCCATAATTCGATTAGTTCAAATGTCATACAAATTGTATTATATTCGTGTTTCATGATACAATTGATTGAGTTTTAGAGACGTTTACTATTATTTTTCTTTAGAACTTATCTGGAAAAAGAAATTATACATTAAAATTTATATTCAAAAAAATTAGGGAAATACCATGTTGATTTTTTTATTTTTTTTTGGTTTGAGAAAAAATCGACGTGGTATCATTGTTAAAAAATTGTTTAAAAATAAGATACGAAGTCGATTTTTTAAAAAAATCAACGTCGTATAGTATTTTATAATTTTTATAGAGATATGATATTGTTTTTTAATAAAAATTTACATCACATCTTATTTTATTTTTTAATAAAGAAATTCGACTTTAGTTTTTCCTAAAAAGCGGTGCTGTATATAATTTTTTTAAATAAAAATAAAAAGATAAAAACTGACTTCATATCTCTTTTATAAATTTCATAAATGTTATGATCAAATTTTTTAAAAATGACATACGACATCTATTTCAGAAAATCGACGTCATATCATTTTTTTTATTACTACAACAAGATCTACTATGCAATATAACCGACGTTGTAAGTTAAAAATAATATACTTTAAAAGTATTTTTTGTGACCTGGTAGTGTTGATATATATATATTCAGAATATAACAATTGTCTAAAATCAAAACGAAAGAAAAAATTAACATAATGGTGCTATATATGTACTACGAAATTTAATTTTGTGGCGTTTAGTGGTTGTATACTTGGTGGCAAGATCATAAATTTTATAACAATAAAAGAATAATTATACATGCGTACATGCATGTGTTATGATAGCTTGTCAATTCTAAAATTTATTTTAATTAACTTGACAAGTTTAAATTAAATATGTCAAAATTTAAACAAATTGATAATTATAAAACTTTAATTATTATAATATGTTATTAAAATTACATATTACTTAAAAGAATTACATTGAAAAACATTTATAAGATTAAATAACAAAATTAAATAAGAGAAAATGAAAAAAAAAAAAAAAAACAGTTCATTTGCATAAATTAACAATTTCGTCTGATTTTAATTAAAAATATAAATATAAAATAATTTTGAGTTAGCGCCCGAAACAAAACGCATTCATTGAGCATAGACATGTTATCACACACCAATATTTTTGAGTATTATGCAGAAAATAAATGCAGAAATTTAGCATATAGGCCACTGGAAATGTATTATATATAGTTGTACACAGTAGTTTATAACAGAATTAATGTTGAGTGATGGAGTTATTATTATTTGTACACCCCAAGCACACATAATATAAGACAATGCACATAATAATATATATTTATAATATTTAATGCATGATGTCATTTGCAGAAAAGGTGCAGACAACAAAGCTTCCACTTTCTCGTTTTTTTCACTCCACCTTCTGGCCATTCTCGCCCTCTTTGCTCTGCACCAAATTTGTTCAAGTAAATATAATGGGGAAGAAGAATATCGAGGAAGGGGACTTATCTATGGTTTCCGATCCGATGCTGGAATCTCCGGCGATGATGGCGAGCGGTGCTGCATATATGCCGCCGATCTGATCTCTCTCTTCTAAATCGTGACGATTTCTTCTCCGATCCCACTGCATGCACGAAGCAGCGATGGAGCTCCATCCTCCGCCGGCGATCTTCGGTTTTTCCGGCGAACAGACATCGGCGGCGGTTAATCCTTCCGGCGACCAAACTATCGAGGGAGTATCTTTTGAAGGCAGCCAATCTGGTCCCTTCAATGGAAGGGAATCTTGATTCCACAACACCACGCAAGAATGTAATTATTACTAGCAGGTACTTTGATTACAGATTTTTTTTTTTTTTTTTAAATCTGTTCATATATATCTTTTCACTAATTTCATACTTTTATAGTTGTTATGTTTGTTCAATTCCCCTTTTTTCAATAATTGTTGAAGTTGTTAATTTCTTCAGAAAAGGTTTTCATTACTTCAATATTTAATTTTTTATTTTGTACTATAATATTAATGGAGTTAATACCCAAAATGGTCCTTCGACTATGTCATAATTACCAATTTGGTCTTCAACTACTATTCTTACCCAATTAAGTCCTCAACTATGTAACTTTTACTCAATTAAGTCCTCAACTATACAATTCTTACCCAATTTAGTCCTCAACTATACAATTCTTACCCAATTTAGTCCTCTGTATTAATTTGACTGTTTGTTGACTGTCAAAAGTCGGTATTATTTACAAGATTTCTCCTTCCTCTCCATTTAGCAGCGCCAAACCATGCAGCAATACACTCCGATCAGATTTCGATCGTCAAAAAATCGTTGGAAATCAAATTCATGGGCTATCCGATGCATAACCACTACTTCGATACTGACAGGTTTAGAACCCAGTCGGAGTTTATTGCTACATGGTTTGGCGCTGCTAAATGAGGAGGAAGGAGAAAACTTGTAAAATTACAACTTTATTTCCACTTTTGACAGTCAACAAACAGTCAAATTGACAAAGGACTAAATTGGGTAAAAATTGTATAGTTGAGGACTTAATTGGGTAAGAATGATAGTCGGGGACCAAATTGGTAATTACGACATAGTCGAGGGACTATTTTGGGTATTAACTCATATTAATGACTCGTGAGTATCACATTTGTGCCTATTTTTGTCGTTTAATTAAAATACAGTGTAATAGCTAAAAATTTAAATGAAAAAAGATTTATGAAGGATTAACATTATTATTATTATTATATTATTATTATTATATTATTATTATTATATTATAAACTTTATAAACTAATAATAATATAATAATAATATTATTAATATTATTATTATTAGTATTATTAATCATATTCACATTAGAATTTATTTTCCCTCCCTATAGTATTGTGAATATTTCTTTTCTCATTCCTTATCTGATTAGGAATTTGTTTTCCCTCCCTCTATATTATTGTGAATATTCTTTTTATCATTCCTTATCTAATTAGGACTAGTCAGGATCCCTATAAATACTACTTTGCATAACCAACCTAAACTATTCAATATCAATAATCTTCCCAATCTTTTAGACAGTGCTTTCGTCCTATTTCTCTATCTATTTATAATATATATATATGGCTTCTCATATATATACTACGCCATGCATTGCAATGGCAGCTTTATCATGTTTGCTTCTGCTGCTCTCCTCATTCTCACACTGCCAAGCGCAGTTGTCCCCTACATTTTACGATAAGACATGCCCTAACGCTCTAAACATAATTCGCACTGCCATAAGGCAAGCAGTTTCTCGTGAGCGCCGCATGGCTGCCTCCTTGCTTCGTCTCCATTTTCACGACTGCTTTGTCCAGGGTTGCGACGCTTCCATCTTACTGGACGAGTCACCAACCATTGAGAGCGAAAAGACGGCGTTGCCAAACCTTGCCTCTGCCAGGGGTTACGACGTGATAGAGTCTGTCAAGCTCGAGTTGGAGAAAGCTTGCCCCGGTATTGTATCTTGTGCTGATGTATTGACGGTGGCTGCACGTGATGCCACTGCTGCTGTGGGAGGTCTGTCTTGGACAGTGAAGCTGGGGAGAAGAGATTCAACCACAGCTAGTCGTACCATAGCTGGAACCGATCTCCCCAGCCCTTTTGCCAATTTGGATACACTTATATCCAGCTTTGCAAGCAAAGGCCTTAATACAAGAGACATGGTTGCCTTGTCTGGTGCACACACTCTCGGTCAAGCTCAATGCTTCCTATTTCGCGATAGAATTTATGGCAACCGTACTGACATTGATGCCGGTTTTGCTAACACTAGACGACGCCGATGTCCTAAAGACACTGGAAATGGAAATTTGGCACCGCTTGATGTAGTGACCCCAAATTCCTTCGATAACAACTACTACAAGAACCTATTGCAAAAGAAAGGTTTGCTTCAATCGGATCAAGTTCTATTCAGTGGTGGAGCTACAGACAGCATAGTTTCAGAGTATGCAAGGAGCCCACAGGCATTCCAAGCAGATTTCGCATCAGCTATGATTAAAATGTCTGAAATTCAGCCACTCACAGGTCAAAATGGTATCATTAGGAAGGTCAGCGGTGCTTTGAACTAGCTTCATTTCTTCAATTTGTTGTGCTTTGATCGTTAGGAAGGTCACAGGTCAAAATGGTATCATTAGGAAGGTCTGCGGTGCTTTGAACTAGCTTCATTTCTTCAATTTGTTGTGCTTTGATCGTTAGGAAGGTCTGTGGGGCTCAAAATGCATGTAATAATTTGTTGTACTAATTTTTTATTATATATGAAATGTAAGATTTCCTCGGCTTTATTTCTTTTCATTATTAATGAAATGTAAGATTTCCTCATAAGTGCAGTTATTGTTTTTTTTTTTTTTTTTTTTTTTTTTTTTTTTTTTTTTTTTTTGCATAAGTTGTCTGACAGCAGAGGTTTCTGCATCAAATTGCAGGTTGATATGGATTATAAATTTATAATATAACAACCAGCAAATTCAGGAAGGCATAGGCTTTCTTTTCCATATTTATAATATAACAACCAGCAAACGACTCGATTTGTTTTCCAAATATATGAAATCGATGTTCTGATCATACTGACACAAAGAATAATTTTGGAAGGGAAAAATTGCAGCTTTAGTTGTTTATATTTAATTTCTTCAAATAGAATTTGGTTGACCTGTTTGATTTTCTGGTAAATATTGATTTCTGATCCATAATACTTTGTCTTTCTTCATGCATCTGGTTTGAAATGATGGATATGATCATATGAATGGAATATATTGATCATATATCGATTTGTATTAAAATTGAATGAATTTTAATTTTTGTCTGCTGGGCTCTGTGATTATGATGGTATTAGTTTATTAATTATGCACTTATAATGTGTTTTATGAATTTTATGGTTCCCTATTGAAGTTTGAATTTGTATTATTAGAATTTTGTATTGGCTCTTTTTTTTTTTTTTTTTTTTTTTTTTTTTTTTTTTGATAATAGTGTTAGAAAGAATTAGTCAATAACATTAATTATTTCTGTGTTTGCCTCAAATTCAAATAATTTAGTTTTACTATACTAGAAGAAAATGTTACTATTCAGCATGTACGAAGTTTGTAGTCTACCATTAGCCGTTAGTGGATTGTTTTAGTACAAGTTATATGTGTGGATCTATCACTTGAAAATTGTTAAAGTTTCTGTTGTGAAAAACTATTTTCGTTCATTACATTTTTCATGTGTGCATTTAGTGTTTAGAATTTTATAATTCCTTATGCTTCTAGGATGTTTGTCGCTTTTTTTTTTAAAAAAAAAATTTGGTGTTTCAGGGATGCTCAATATCTGCCTAAATCAACCAAACACTCAAACTGATTAAGATCGAATTTCTAATTAATCTTTGTTATCGTAAAGAAGGATATTATTATTGCTAATTTACATTTCCAACCATAATAATATTGTATGACTTAACATTTAAATCGTGGATCCATCAAAATGGTCATGGCTGCAATAAAGCATGCCAGCCACGAATGAAGCATTTTGATAAGGAGATGCCTGGTCGCACGAGTGTTGTTAGGTAAATTCCCTTAATATTCTAATTCCTACTATTTTTATCCCTATAAATATTACTTTGCATAACCCAATTATTCAATATCAATAATCTTCCCGATCCCTTTCAAAAAAAAAAATAATAATCTTCCCCGATGCCTTTCAAAAAAAAATAATCTTCCCGATCTTTTACACAGTATAGCTACCGCCTTCAATTCGTCCTTGCCCCATCTAGATCTCAATCTGGGAAGAATATATGGCTTCTCATATATATACAACGCCATGCATTATTGCATCTTTATCATGTTTTCTTTTGCTGCTCTCCTCATTCTCGCAATGCCAAGCGCAGATGTCCCCTACATTTTACAACAAGACATGCCCTAACGCTCTAAAAATCATTCGCACCACCGTAAACCAGGCGATTTCTCGAGACCGCCGCATGGCCGCCTCGTTGGTTCGTCTCCATTTCCATGACTGCTTTGTCCAGGGTTGCGACGCTTCCATCTTATTGGACAGCACACCCGTCATTGAGGGTGAAAAGGATGCGTTGCCCAACAACGCCTCCGCCAGGGGTTACGACGTGATAGAGGCCGCCAAGCGCGAGATCGAGAAATCTTGTCCCGGTGTTGTATCTTGTGCTGATATATTGACGGTGGCTGCACGTGATGCCGTCGTTTCGGCGGGAGGTCCGTCTTGGGCGGTGAATCTGGGGAGAAGAGATTCAACCATGGCTTATCATGCCAAAGCGGGAACCGATCTCCCCAGCCCTTACTCCGATTTGGATACACTTATAACAGCCTTTGCAAAGAAAGGCCTTAGTAAAAGAGACCTGGTTGCCTTGTCTGGTGCACACACCCTCGGCCAAACACAATGCTTCCTATTTCGCTATAGAATTTATAACCATACTGACGTTGATCCCGATTTTGCCAACACTAGAAAACGCCAATGTCCTGAACAACAGATCGGAGATAAAAATTTGTCACCGCTTGATTTAGTGACCCCATATGTCTTCGATAACAATTACTACAAGAACCTAATGCAAAAGAAAGGTCTGCTTCAATCGGATCAAAATCTATTCAATGGTGGAGTTACGGACAGCATAGTTTCAGAGTATGCAAAGAGCCCAGAGGCGTTCAACACAGATTTCGTATCAGCTATGATTAAATTGTCTGAAATTCAGCCACTCATAGATGGCCATGGTATCATTAGGAAGGTCTGCAGTGCTGTGAACTAGCTTCATTTCTTCAAATTAGTTTTTCCTCTCCCATCAATTTAATTAATTGTATTTCAATTCTTTTCTTCATAACTGCATGCACTCATGCATTGATTTGTATTTTAGGAAAATGCCAATAATAATTTTTTGTACTTTTCATTATATATCTACAACGCAACCTGCACTATTTCTTTTATTGAACATTATATTATTCCAACTAATTGAAGGTTACTTTATTGTCAACAAAGTTAAAAGCATGCACTGATCCACTCAAATTACATATAATATTAGGCCTAAAATGTTACCATTTACTTTACAGGGCCCTGATGTTGGTTGTTTTCTAAACAATTATGCCATCATTTTGTTATTGTGCTTTTTAAAATGTTTTTGGTTCTTTATTGATTGTTATTTTTTTATGCTCATCTTATATATATTACTACAGGTTTCATACAGTTTGGTCACAGAGAATTCTGTGGGTATTGATTGTAATTAGCAGTTAGCGGATTGTTTCAGTACAAGTTATATGTGTAGATCTGCCACTTGAAAACTGCCAAAGTTTCTGTTGTGAAAAACTATTTTCATTCGTTACATTTTTCATGGTGCATTTAGTGTTAAGAATTTTGTAATTCCTTATGTCTTCAATTGTTTTCTCCAGCTTTGCTCTTTCATCATCACTCATGTATTTGCTGATGCCATTTTTTTGGTAGTTCTGTGAACACATTTCTGATGACTGTTATTGGCTTTGGATAGCTTGTGCAACTGTCTTTCTGGCCAATATTTACTCAAAGAACTGACAGCAATGACAAGAAACACAGCTGCATATATGATTCCTCCATCTAAACATCCATGGAGGCCATGCTTTCTCATCCCAATACCAATACCAATGGACAATGTGGCACATAGTAATAAGACAATCATGATGGGATCTTTGGATGAGTTTCTTTAAATCTGACGAACAATGCGATGGGCTTTGGATGGGTTCTGCGAGGTGATGATGGCGGGTTCTTGGCAGCAAAGAATATGCATATGCCGGGAACGTTTAGTGTTAAGGAAGCTGAAGCAATGAGCCAAGAGAGGCTTTGAGTTGGTTAAAGAATACTGGTATGGGTAATGTTGAAGTAGAGTTAGATTCCCAAGTTGTTTTTCATGCAATCCATTCATGTTCTTTTACTTCTAGCTTTGGATTATTAGTTGATGATATTAAAGAATTGGCATCAGTCATAGGTGATGTCAAGTTCTGTTGTGTCAAGCAATCTGCGAATTGCCCCGCCCACACTGTTTCTTTTCTGAGTCAGGTTGTGTGGAGTGGTTTGATATACCCCTTATTTTCCTTGTAAGTTGTCTTGCTCAAGGTTTAATGCATTAAGTTTTTATCCTCAAAATAATTTAAGTAATATACCTAATAGTCTAATACAAAAACTAATATAACTACATAAGTATATCATCACAATGCAAACATAATAGCATTAAAACATAAAATAAAATAAAATAATAGCATTAAAACATAACATAAAATAAAATAAGTCATGACTTCAGCATGCTCCATGCCATGCTTGTTAACTTGTTTAACTTACATAATTAATACGCGACACTTCATTAAATATTATAACAGTAAAAATAACCAGCCAAACTGATTAAGAATTTTTTATTAATCTTTGTTATCGTAAAGAAGAATATTGTTATTGCTAATTTATATATCTAACCGTAATAATATTATATGACTTATCATTTAAATCGTGGATCCATCAAAATGGTTATGGCTGTAATATAATAAAGCATGCCAAACACAAGAAGCCATGAATGAAGCATTCTAATAAGAAGATGCCCGCACCGAGTGTTCTTAGGTAAATTGGTTTTGCATAGGAAGCATTACTTAGCTTAGATCTTTGGATTTAATTGCCTACAATTGGGGGAACTGCAAGAAAGCTCTAAGACATTCATTTTTCCTGAAAAATTAAATAATGTATAAATAGGATCATGCTTCCACATGCAATCATTTAATTCACACCTAACTTAAGAAGATGATAAAGCTAATCAATGATCATTAACAAGTTGCTCTAATATATAGTATTAATATAATGATTAGTCTTGTGTAACATCATTTCATCTGAAGATATAGTAATATTTTTTTAAAAAAATTTACTCTTTTTTTTTTTTTTTTTTTTTTTTAATTTTGTATAAGTTAACAAGATTAGAGAAATCAATTGATTCTGTTGCGATAGAATTGAAATTACAAAGTATATCTGTAACCAATCTAAAACTACTCCTGACAACTAGGTTATACTAAGTCAAATATAACTAACACCATATTACAACCATAATATAAAATAATAATAATAATTATTATAATGCTAACACACCCCCTCAAGCTCAAGGTTGGTGAAGCACAATATTGAGCTTGTCCCGTAGAGTAGCATAGCGTGGAGCTGGAAGAGGTTTGGTGAAGATGTCAGCTAGTTGATCAGTAGTGGAGATGTAGTTAACCACGAATTCCCCGGACGCCACCTTGTCTCGAACAAAGTGGTAATCAATCTCGACGTGCTTGGTGTGTGCATGGAAGACCGGGTTGGCACAAAGATACGTCGCACCTAGATTGTCGCACCATAAAGAAGCAGGTTCGCCGGAGTGTAGCCCTAATTCTCGGAGTAAGGAAACAACCCAAGTAACTTCAGCAGATACATCGGCTAGGGCTTTATATTCAGCCTCTGTGGAGGACCGAGCCACGGTGCGTTGCTTCTTCGATAACCAGGAGATGAGATTAGAGCCTAGATAGACCGCGAAACCACTTGTACTCTTGCGATCAATGGGACACCCTGCCCAATCGGAGTCCGAGTAGGCCTGTATGTGGGTAGTCGACGAGGGTGAGAACCGTAACCCTAACGAGATAGTCCCCTTTATGTAACGTAGGACACGTTTGACGAGCCCCCAGTGTTCGGTTGTAGGTGAGTGCATGAACTGGCATAACCGATTGACCGAGTAGGCAAGGTCGGGTCGTGTGATGGTTAGGTATTGTAGAGCACCGACCACACGCCGGTATTGAGTCGGATTGTCAAACGGCTCTTCAGACGGTGTGACTGACTTCGTAACGGCTGCTGGTGTAGCAAGTGGCTTGCAGTCAACCATTCCAGCCCGGCTTAGGAGATCAGTCATGTATCGACGCTGAGAAAGAATAATATCATCACCATCTGAATTAGTCTCTATGCCCAAGAAGAAGTGCGGAGTACCAAGATCCCGAATTTTGAAAGTAGATGCCAGTCGTTGGAGTAAGGAGGCAACCAAGGCCGCATCATTTCCCATCATGATTATGTCGTCGACATAAACAAGTAAGAAAACCCGGGAATCCCCAGCCGTGTAGTAGAACAAAGAAACATCGGTTTTGGAGGATTTGAAACCTGCAGATAATAGAAAATCATGAAGGCGCTTGAACCAGGCGCGTGGGGCCTGTTTCAAGCCATAAAGCGAGCGCTGTAAAAGGCACACATGCCCGGGATTGGTGGGATCCTCATATCCCGGAGGTTGCTTCATGTATACGGTCTCTGCTAGGTGACCGTTCAAAAAAGCATTGTGAACGTCAAGTTGACGTAGCGTCCACTTATTTGACACCGCAAGAGAGAACAACATTCGGACAGTGGTGGGTTTAACCACCGGACTGAAGGTGTCGAAAAAATCCTCCCCAGCTACTTGATTAAACCCTTTGGCTACGAGACGCGCTTTGTAACGGTCCACCGTGCAATCGGACTTGCGTTTGGTGCGGAACACCCACTTGCACCCAATGATATTCATGTGGGACTCGGGAGCAACAAGTCGCCACGTGTGATTATGGAGTAGAGCATTAAACTCTTGATCCATTGCCTCTCGCCAATGTGAGTGACCTACGGCTTGAGAATAGCACGTAGGGTCGGTGGTGACAGTTAAGGCTTGAAAAGTCTCATCTGTGCCCTTAGTCATATGACATAGGCGCATGACATGATCCCTACTCTGCAGTGCAACCCTTTTCCTGCGAGTTTTAGCCGGTGCTGTGTGGGTGATAGCCAGTGCAGGTGGGACCCGTGCTAGTGGTACGGGCTCCGACTCGGCAAAACAAGGTGCATCATTGGGTGCCACTGGTTGTGGGACAAGTGTTGAGACTATCGGTGCAGCAGCCCATGGTAAAGCGGGCGTTGATGTTTCAGCAGTTATATTTCCTGTAGAAAAGGGGAAAACAGTCTCGTCAAATCGGACATGACGACAGATGTAGGTTTTCCCACTTGTTAGATCAATGCATCTGTATCCCTTAAAGGTTGGTGGGTAACCTAGGAAGACACACGGAGTGGACCAGTATTCTATCTTATGCCTGTTGTAGGGGCGTAGATAAGGAAAACACCGACATCCAAAGACTCTAAGAAAGGTATATGGCGGTGGTGTTTTAAAGAGACGGGTGTAGGGAATTTCAAAGTTTATAGCTGCTGATGGTAAGTAGTTAATTAAACAGGTTGCTGTTTCGAAAGCGTAGTCCCAGTAATGTTGGGGAACTTTGCCTTCAGCTAACAGGGCAAGCCCTATTTCAACGATATGTCTGTTTTTGCGTTCTACCCTCCCATTTTGTTCATGTGTGTAGGCACAAGACTGCCGGTGATTTATTCCCAGCTTATAATTATATTTTTACTAATATTTTTTTGGAATAAGGGTCAAATAGGCCATTGAACTGCACACAATAATGCAATTAGGCCACTGAACCAAAAAAAACAACAATTAGGCCACTAAACTAAGCAATTTCATTCAATTATTCTAATTTACAGGTTTTGTAGGTTACTAACAGGTCACCCAAACAATTTAAAATATTTTTAAAAAAATTATTATTTAAAAATAATAAATTAAAAAAAAAAACTCGTCTCTGCCGGAGACGAAGAGTTTCTTCGTCCATGGCCGGAGACAAGAAACTCGTCTCCGGCGGAGACGGTTAATGTTTTTTTTTTTTTTAATTTTAATTTATTATTTTTAAATAATAATTTTTTTAAAAATATTTTAAATTATTTGGGTGACCTGTTAGTAACCTACAAAACCTGTAAATTAGAATAATTGAATGAAATTGCTTAGTTTAGTGGCCTAATTGTTGTTTTTTTTAGTTCAGTGGCCTAATTGTATTATTGTGTGCAGTACGATGGCCTATTTGACCCTTATTC